CTGTTTTTCTGAAAACTCAAGTTTCATGATAATTTGGTTAGATTTTTTTCGGGTTTTTTGTATATAGGAAGGCGTAGCGAAGTTAAATTTTTGAAAATGGTACTCACTATAATGATTTTGGATAGCCGTTTTCATCATTTTCCTTAGTATTGACTTCTTAGAACAAAGTTTATTATTTAATAAATGTTCATAAAAATACTTGACTTCACAATTTTTATTTAAATATAGCAAAATTAGAGTTTTTTCATTATAAAGAACGTTGCCAAATTTTCACAAAATTGAGAAAAAAAAGTACATATAGTAAATAGACGAGATAGTGGATATTTTGAAAACCTACGGTAGAATTTCAATTTTGTTTTACCTTAGTTTTTACTTTAATTTTTAGAGTTTTTTTGTAATAATTAAATTAATATTGAAAACTAAGTATTTTCGGATTTCTTCGGATGACAAATCTTCAGCCGAGTGTTGGCGTATGTTTGACTTTGACTAGATTATTGAAAAGATCTACATTGTGATCGAAATCTCGAATAAAATATAAAAATACAAATAATTTCAATTTTTCAAAGAAACTTCAACAGACCACTGTAATACCATTTGCAAAAATTTGTACGACTCAACAACAACCGACACACGAGGAATTCAGAAGTTTTGTAAATAAAATAATTTCAATATTATTGCATAACCTCAACCAAAAAACGACTTAGCTGTTACTATTTCAAGGTTGAAGAATAAAAATAAGTGGTATAAAAAAAATACAAAATTTGGTGGGTATAATAATAAATGTTTAAAACAAAGCGAATTTTATTAAAAATCTAAGCAGAAATTCGCAAATTTGCGTATTTCGAGACTAATAGAGATTTTTTAAATATCTATTGACGTTATTTTTCTTTTTTAGCCTTATATGCCCTAGTATTTCTTAGTTAGATGTACAGGGTGGGCACTTTATTAGAGGCCTGTACCTTATCTCAGGAAAAAATAGTTTATACAAAAGTTTTATCGTTTAAATTAAATTTTAAAATTATTTATTTTTTATATACAGGGTGTTCGATAAGTGTTGGAATGTAACTTGGAGGAAACTTTTATAGAAACTGCTTATTCAAATTTTGTGTAACTTAGACAGGAATTGAGATTACATATTTTTTAATGCAAAATTATAGAGGTGTTTTATACAACGTGCATTATTCAAAATAGTGGATATTTTGAAAACCTACGGTAGATTTTCAATTTTGCTTTACCTTAGTTTTTACTTTAATTTTTACAGTTGCTGTTGTTTGTTGCTTTTACTTGTTACTGTTACTTGTTTTAAATTTTTAAACTTCTATCATAATTATATATATTATTCTACATCTTTGACGATATAAAAAATGATGATGTAAATCTCTGAATTATCTTACCTACAAAAAAGACCCATGACCCATAGCAAACATTCTTAAACCTGATTAAAAAATAAGAATGTTATGCTTTTTTGAACTTCTTTAAAATGATTAGGTGTCAGTATTTCGAAAACCATAGGACGTTAGAAGGAAGTCTTCTAAAAATATGTTTAAAATTTGATGAAGTGGTCATTACTGCCAGCCGTGGAAGACCATATAACATAACATAAAAAAATATATAATGTCAATTTCTGTCAAAACTATACAAAATACGAATAAGTGGTTTGTATAAAAGTTACCTTTATTTTTGGCAAGGATTCTAAAAATATCAAAACATATGGGGTGTTCCATTTAAAATTTTAAAAGTAATGTCAATCCAGCACTTATCGCATATATAAAAAACAAATAATTTTAAAATTAAATTTAAACCATAAAACTTTTGCATAAACTTTTTTTTCTAAAATCAGTGTTTGCCCCTCTACGTCTTCAGTTCAGACGTTGTAAGTTTTTTGAAAATTACTTCTTGCGGAGTGAAATTAATAGAAAGGACATACTAGGATGAAGTGTGCGGAACTATCCAGTCCATAAAAATTTCGATTGACACAGGAAGCGGTTTTCTTTCATTTTATGTAAATTAAATAATTAATTAACTAAATTAAGTTAAACAAAAGCTCAAATATAATTTGACTTTAACGTCATTGATTATTCTTTTTGACTCCTGACCCCGAAGTAGAAGTTTCACATTTTATCTTTGAGTAGAGTAGAGTAATCACAGCATGTCGTCAAAAGCAAAAGCATACGGGAATCATAATCGCTGTCATCAAATTCGCAAAGGCGGGCGAATATTCGTTTTTCGCGGCATTATTCCAGTATTTATTTGCGTGGTAATATTTCAATATAATAATATATACTTCGTTCGGTCGCAAACAAAATTTCTTGTTTACTGTTTGGAACCCGAGGCGCGGACAATGAAACGGGGTTTCATTTCCATATTCAACCCTGACCGCTCGGCTTTGCAAAATCCCCGGAGATTTCCCCGGACATAATTCGGTTTAAAAATTTGTAACGTAGCGTTTTTTCGAAGACTAGATCGAATGCAATTGTTTTGGGAAGACATGTGAGCTTATCAAAAATATTTGTCAGGTATACGGTCTTATCTAGTTTTTACACTTTAAGGTGCACATTCACTAGAGCCTGAACGAGAATGAGGCAAGCCGAAGCTAAAAGAAAAAGTAGTTTCCCATAACCTATCTTGCATATAGGGCAGAAAAAATAATGCTTTTTCTCAGTAATTCAAAATGAAAATGGAAAAAAGGAAAAACCTTATATGATCTTTTGTTCAGTCGACGTTGGAAATCAATAATATACTATATAGTTCATTGGTGGAAATGCTGCTGATAAATCTGTCAACATATAATGTATTCTCCATGATTCATCTCATTTTTATGTAAAAATTTTAGAGAATTGAAAGTTGAAAATTAAATTTGCATATTCGTCGATAAATTAGAAGCTTTTCGATATAATAATTAGCAAATTCGACACGAGAGTTTTTTATGACCAGAAAAAATTATTTCACTATATTTTGCACGAAGTCAGTAGAGGGCGCGGTGTACGGTCCTCTAATAAGATGTTGTAAAATACAGTAAACAAGTAGGTAAAATATTTCGAAATAAAAATATATAGAGATAGGTTTTGCATAAAAGTTACATAAAGTATCATCATAAACTTCCCGTTAATATAGTAAATTAGAGCAAACCATTAGTCATTCAGATTTTCTTTCCGACTTCAAACAACTTACCAAATTTCCAGACCTTATGTGCATTAGTTTCCACCCATCTAATTAAATTAAACACAGGCGTTACTAAGATAATAATGGTTATAATAGATTATATATAGATTATAATAGATTTCTTGTTGCTATTCAAGATCGAGTCATCAGAACAAGAAACAATAAAAAGTATTGCCTAGGGCTCAATGTGGAACACAGATATAGGAAATTTCGTGAGCCTAGAGAGTCAATCGACCATATTATTGGGGGCTATCAAAGGCTTGCAAATAATACATCTCTTGGTGCCCATAATTAACTGGCCAAGATCAGCAACTGACTCTTAAAAATGGACTGCTAATATTTCTGTACCTCTCTCCCACAACATCGCGAAAGTGGGAGCAGAAAAGACTAGAAAATATGGAAACTTGGCTACCGAAATGAAACATGTTTGGCAGTTGCAGCGCATTCATATTATTCGTAATATCGGCTTTAGTTTTATCAGAAACTTGAAAACCATTAACGCTAGCGATAGTAAAAAACTCAAAAGAGAACCCCGAGCGAAACACGTATGGAATGCAATTGATTGAAAAGAACGTTTTTGATATTTTTTTTTTTGAAAAATCAACATTCCCGTGTTTCATACACTCTTCATGAATCTCAATATTTTATATATTTAGAAAGTTGATTTATGAAATGTTAACAAAAACTCAATCTTTTATGAATCTTGCAGAATAGAATTTTATTTGGATCTATTTAAAATTACTTGCTTGACTTTTTGGAAGATAGAAAATAGAACGTGAGCCGGTCTGCCATTAGAGCAAATGCAATTTGCGGTAAAAATATTTCCCATGGTTATGACGTTAATTATTCAATGAAGCTGATATTATTATTTTCTTCTTTTAAGCTCTGCTTACAGGTTATCAGGACTTCGTCAGCTGCGGGGCAGCGAGACTACGTCCTCAAGCGTTTATTATTATTATTATTAATAATATTATATTAGCGCAAGTGGTAGTTAAAAAATACAAGCTGTTTAGACAATTAAGACTAATATTCTAAGATATTCTACTGGTTTAGTTTATTAGCTGAAGATATGTCCAATTTAGCTTCTCGTTAATCTTCGAACTGCATCAAATACTCCATTTCTTTGAAAGGAATAAAGGAGTTTCAAAATAGAAGGAAAGTCAGAGATGTATGATGAGAAGAGCAGTTTCCAAACTCGACCCTTGGGATATGCCCTGTCTCAAAGAAAGGTTGTCAGATTTACTATTGTTCCGCATAATATGTTGCGATCTTCTGCCAAAGTAAGATTAATTTAGTGAAAAGCAAAATAATGGAACTTCTGACAATGAATTTTAGTATCATCGAATCAAAAGCCCCGCTGTAATCTTCTAACAGAATCAAACAAGTTACTTTATTTCGATCAGTCTGACGAACGTCATGAGTTACATATCATGAATATTGTCCCCAATATCTGTGGTGATTTCGAATGAAAATTATTTTCCATAGCTCTGACCAAATTTTTTTAAAAAAGGTAATAAATGTAAAAACGATAAAAAAATCTGATTTTGTCATTAAGTTCTACGTTAAAAGATATTCCAAGAACCAATTTCACATTTACGACGAAGGCAACAAGCTAACGGATTTAAATGGCACGTCATTCGTTTCAAGGAAATGGAAGATGGCTAAAACCGCATCCAGAAATAAATTAAAATCGGATACCCTGTATTCAGATTCGACGTTATGCGAATGGAATTCGAGTGGTCGGCGTTCGGTGATGTGAAACGGGGTTAAATATTCAGTTCGTTTTTATTCCTCTATTACCTCAGTAAATTAAACTGTTCTGTAATTAATGTACTTACAGTTACGATGATTTCAACTGGAAGCTCTGCTGAAGCGTTTTAACGACCTATGAATTCTAAATAGGTTTCCGTTTGACTTTAAAATCTTGAAAACATTTTACTGGCTCTATGCTTACTCTAGCTGAAGCTAATTTAACACAATTTCTGTTAGGGGTACGGTGTTATGTTGGCACTATACACCGGGAATCTATTGATTACATTTTATTCTTTTCCAATGGTCGGGTTCGGTACATATTAAAGTATTTCTGCTATCGTGCCGTTCTGAAGAGGTGGGGCAGCGGTTGGGAACGTAACAGGTCCGGTTCTATTGCCCCCTACATGCGGGGTTCTCGCTGTAAGCGGCGAAGCTGGAAGTTAGATACATTATTAATATCTATTATGTCGTTCGACAAAAATAATTTAATAACAATAGTCGATTAATCGCCGTAAAAGATAATTTAATTATGTATGATAGGTGCAATTTCAAAGTAAAAGCTGTGAAAAGTAAAGTAGGGGATTTCTGGAAAAATACGTACAATAGCATAAACGAATGATAAATAAGCACCGCTTATTAATGAATTTAACCGTATTTCATAAATATATATTTTTTAAAACTTATCTTGACAATAACAACATACAGACGCAAAAATTGGAAGAGGAAAAATATTTAAATTTAAATTAAGTTCTACATTATGACATTTTTCGAAGTTAGAGAATATTTTGAAAAGGCACATATGAATTGCTCCCTCGGTGCAGTTAATAGCTTATTCTGTAATAAAGTGATCTTGCTTACTTGATGGCGAACCTCCATTTGATGGGGTTGAGGTCTCGCTGATTGTACCTCCTAATTAAAAAAATTATAATAGTGCTCACAGGTCTTAATTACTGCCAACCTTCATTATATTTATTTATTACTTACCAACTACCCCAGCAATCACGAAAATAAGGCAAAAGCCTATTATCTGAAATATGTAGAGTTTATATAAAAAACTTGTTATTTAAGTTCTCGGTATATTTATAAATACAGTTACTCGAAAAAAAGGAATCTTGTTCTCAAAAAAAGTAAGAAAAACAAATATTTTACTGCGTTAAATGAGTTCTAAATAGTATATGAAAAGATAAAACAAAGTAGAGGAAAAAAAAGAGTAGTATTTTTATTTATGCTGAAAAAAAAAAGAAATGAGGAAAACTAAGATTTTAAAGACAAATACTTAATAGTGCCATCCTTTGTCATATTAAGCAGAAAACTTAATATCAACATATGTCGCAATTCTCCTAATTTTTAAGCTACAGGGTGTTAATATTTTAAGAAATCCTTTTATAACAGTTTTCTTCATATAAAAGTTCCTTAGCAAACCTACGTAGACGTCACTACTAGTGTTGGAGCTATTCAATTAACCACTTCTTAATTGACTAGTCAAATTTGATCAAAATGTTTTAGATAACATCTTGCAATTATAGAGTGTTATCTGTCATTATTTAATAATAATATGCATTTTATAATAAATTATTATCCCTATATGAATTTACCTATAACCCATTTCAAGGAATATCCGAATACGATACTTACTGATTCGGAGAATCTCAATAAAAATATCCACTACATTTAGTTCTCAGAACGCCGCGAGGGCAACAGAACGCACAATATAAATAAATAAATATAAATGTCATTGTATTTTTAAAATTATTTCTTTTTTAACTAACTAAACTTTGGTTTTTACGAGAAAAAAAAATGGCTCAGGCAAAGTCTAAAAATGAATATTTCAAAAATAATTAAAATTTATAAGGAAAATAGTCGCATACAACAGAAAAAAAAATGGGTTTCTGTCCTTTTACTCGAAAGAGGCGCGTCGTACAAAAGTAAACCTAAAATTTCATAATTTTGCACATAGCAATTTCATGTTTAGTGAGATAAGAAAATTATGATAAAACAGACATTCTTTTAAATAAAAATTTATCAGGTTGAGTTTTTTGTTGAAATCATCGAAGGATGTACACCCCTTAACTGCCGGCACTCAATTAATAACCACCCTGTCTAACAATTATTACACGTACCAGGAAGCAAGTAGCTGGCTGAATTTTTAAAGATTAAAGAAGCTAATTTTAACATATGCTAAAACGGGCACACTTTGGCACCTTATTTTTGAAAACAATTAAGGATAAGAAAAAAACTCTGTTTTTTTGTGAATTATGATATGGCACACAAACACTCACATTTTTTATTCTCATCGCATCAAATGCAAACTGCTGACTGTTTCGGTATCCGTCCACTTGCCCAACAACTTGCGATCCGCAATAACACACCAACGTATTTATGGCATGCTTTTATCGCAAAGCATTTCGTATAAATGAACTTCATGAATAATTATTGAGAACTCATTACCTTTCTGTCAAGATAACTAAAAAAGTTCGGAATATTTGTAATTTTTTTTAGATATGTTAGTGCTAATACGGAATCCGAGCGGTACAAAAACTGATAGAGTGAATAACTGACAGTAGTTGCAATACAGCCATGGACGTTCAAACAGTACCTTAGTTAATAGCTAATAATTTAACATGGTTCCACTAGTATCAAAATCTATTTCAGATCTTTGACATAATATTCAACATCAGATATCAATTTTTATTTGCAGGGTGTTGCAAAAAATGTAAAACTACTTTCTAGGGTTAATGGAACGTTACAAAAAAACTAATGAAATTTAGACCACAAATACCTTTGATCAGACCATAAAAGTGCTGCTGACAAAATTTTAATATTTTGTATAAAAGCATTACTAACTTTGTCCGCAAACTTTTTTTGCAGAGATATTTTTCATTTTTTAAATAAAACTTACACTTTTTAATCAACTTTTTTTTTGCAGAGATGTTTTTCATTTTTTTTAATAAAACTTATTCTTTTTAATCAATTCGCCATTAAAAAGGTTCTATTGTTTAAAGACAAGATTACTATTAGTTTGGCAGTTATTTAGGTAACAAAATTTCGGAAAGAAATAGGAAGTAAGACCAATTTTTTTTTACTTTATAGCATGGTTTTGGTTTGGGTTACTTAAAAAACAGTTTTTGAAATAATAACAAAGATATATTTTTGGTACCCATTTAATAGAGCGGTCTGTATCTTCTGAGAGAGGCGAGAAAATGTTTATTAGTCGAAGTAACGTTTTTCATATTATGTCTGCTTTTTATTGGAATACAGTTTCCATTACAAATTACTACATCACAAAGTGATATAAAACTCGCTTGCTACTTTAAAGGAATGTATTTTATAATATAGGCAACTCAATATACACATACGAGGTGTGTTCAAAATGTTAGGTGACTTTTTGAACACACTACCGTATGTTCACAGTTTCAATCAGTGTGCAAGTTTACTTTTTTTGTGAGACAGAAATGTTACACGTGTTTTATGCGCAACATTAATTTTGATATATCAATAAATTCTTTATGATAAAACATAAAAATCAATTAAGATTTTGAACACACCTCGTATATCATTTGTTAAAAAAATTAAATCTACTAAAAAATTCTTTTTCTGGTTTCATATATTATTATGTTGTCAAAAAAAAAATCACTGGTAATAAATATCGTGTCAAGAAATTTACCAATAAAGATAACTAAATAAACCAATCAAAACTAAAAAGTTGGTGTCCCTTTTTGCAGGTATGCTTGAGGATATTAGTTCTAGTGCACAGAAAACTTTCATAAATTGTTATGGTCATTATTACTATTATTATTATTATTATTATTGGTATTATTATTATTATTAGTATTATTATTATTATTATTGCAAAATCCGCAACAAGAGATTTTCTTGTTTTTCAACATCTTTAATACAGAGAATTTGTGTTTCGTTATTAGTTATACTCAGTTTAATTCAAAATGAAGGAGGCATTTTCGGATACATGATGATCAACCAAACTGATATTTTTTTTATATTCTCGAAATTAGCATCAAGCACCAAAACATCAAGTAGACTCTACTTTGTACTTACAATTTCACTTATAAATTACAGCCTAATAAATTGACATAAAACCCGTGCGCTACTACGAAAGAACTTATTTTATAATAAAGCACACTCAATCTATACATCATTTCATAAAATATTTTAATCTACTTGAAAATTTATGAAGCTTCTGTTATGCTATCAAAAATAAATAATACGTGGTAACAAATTTTGTGTCAAGAAATTTACCAATACATATAATTTATTTTGTTGTTCGCAGGTATACGCGAGTTAGTATAGTGAGTTAGATCTCAACTAAAGCATATATGAATTGACATAGTATCGTGATTTAAATTGATGGGAGTATATTGGCATAAAATTATCAAAAAATAATTCTCACTAACAGTTTTCAATTCATTTAATTGAAGCAGCGGATTGTTGATAAGAGTTTAATAAAACTTATATTCCAAGAACTACTAAATAACTAATTTATTCAATTCAATTAGATCGAGCACACTGAGTGCCGAAAACGTAAAACACAAAGCCCATCTGTATAAGACGAGAATTATACCCACAGCCGATGCAAATGCAATAATAAGTTCGATAAATTGGAAACCGATTCAAATTTCGCATCATTTCCATTGTGACTAATAAATTACAATCATAATTCATATAAGGAAAGTAACCAATCGGATAGCTTCGTTATAAGAAACGCCGTATATTACGTCAAGCAACGATTTTTATTTGCAGGCCGATCATATTTTATCACGCATATGATATGACGTACATCTACATGTATACGGACTTTGGAATTTATATTCCAACGGCAGCACAATGCAGCTGGTATATTGATGTTTGCAAGAAACTTCCCTTGGAACGTGCATTGTTATTCGATTTTTGTTTCTAATTTTCTGAGCAATATTGAGGAAATGGGCTAGAAAATTCCTATCCATATTCTGAATCGTTTAATAAATTCCAACTTAGAGAAAAGCGATCCTGCTAAATTGTACCGCCAAAATAACATGTCCTTAATAACTAAATTCCTAAAATTTTTATTCTTTTGGCTGCTGTCCCGCTTATTCTGTTCTGAGATGACAGAGCTGGTTAGTTTTGGTAGCCGGGGTTTAATAGTTTATAACGAATTCATAGAAATAGAGTTTGCACTTGCGTGGTAAAAGAGTTTTTCTACTCCCGTCTGTAAAATACCTAATTACGCACCGATCTATTGTGCGGGAAGCGTCACTTTACAACGTCAGTTTCGTTTCCCATGAATCTGAGCCACTTCGGACATTTCCGGGATTTTACCGCACGGGTTTGGGAGCAATCGGATGATTTCGTAGATATCGCCCACGTCTTGAATTTGACGTTTGTCAATTCTGACGGTCATGTCAGTGAATGTATTCGTGTTGTTTTGCGCAAATGTAATCGAAAACTAACGGTCGCAGAAAAAGTGTAGTGTGCAACACATTCGGTAAACTTTTTAACTCACTCGTTTATTAAAAACTCGCTCCGCTCGTGTCAAATAAACTCTTGAATCAAATGCCGTTTACCGCAGTTGGTGCATAACATACTATTATATTATTATTATTATTATTATTATTATTTGTATTTATTTTTTTTTCTCATCGGAAGATGGAGTGCTCTCATGTCGTCTAGGTGAGTAGCAAAACATGAAATGTGCGCTATTGAAGTTGAGGTTGATTAAGAACTCTTCTAATTATGTTGCAGGTAGCTAGTACCACAGACTTCTGCATTTCAAAGTAGGCGCTTGGTTTTACGGTGAGTGTTGTCAGGTTGGTTCTGAGGGACTTTGGTATTTCTCCCATTGCACCGATCACTATAGGAACAATGTTTTATGTTTATGTTTTATGTCATCCGCTAACGGTATGTATTTTTCTCTTTTTTCACGTTCTTTCTTCTGCAAGTTGTTAGGTGCGGGAATTGCAACGTCGACGAGGGTCACCATCTTATTTGCCTTGTCATAAATAAGAATATCTGGCCTGTTATACTGGACAGTGCGATCGGTCTGAATAGTTCTGTCAAAATATATACTAAATCCCTCATTTTCAAGCACAGATTCTGGTGAGTATCGGTAGTACGGACACTTCTCTTTTAGAAGTTTTAGGTTGAAGGCTATTTCCTCATGGAATATCTTGGTTACGTTGTTGTTTCTTGTGGTGTACTCCTTCGGGGCCAGTATCCGGCACCCACTGATGAGGTGCTCAACATATGTGACAATTCGTTGTTGTTACTGTCGGGTCCTTGATTATGTGTTTAAGATAAGACCGAGTGGGTATGACCTGATCTTGAATTGCACACCTGAAACCCTCAGTCTCGAGAAAAAGGTTGCCGTTCGTTAGCCAGCCAACTGATGCGGGCTTGTCAAGGTCAGCACTATCAAGCAAGTTTGGGTATCTGCCGTGTAGTTCCTTTCCCCGCCACTGGTTCTCGAGTTCGAAAATTGAAGAATTAGAGTCGCACTGATAGTGTGTGACCTGCAACATGAGGGGTGTAAGTGATCTATCTAGACCTGTCACTGCTCGGTGGAGCGCTGAGCTCTCGCTATTTTGATGGAAGTATTTCTGCAGCCGCTCCACCTGGATCTTGTGGCATATTCGCAAATCCGAGAATCCCCTGCCTCCGATGTTTCGAGGTAGATGTACCCTCTCTCTGCCAGCTCGTGGGTGGTGAACGCGGAATTTAGTTAGACTTGTCCTTAAGGTTCTATTTAGATCATCAAGCTCTGTCGGCGTCCAATCAACGATGCCGAAGCTGTACGCCACTGCAGGGACGGCGTAGGAATTTATTGCATTTATTTATTATTATTATTATTATTTTTGGTATCTATTGGTTAAATTTTTCCCTTTTTTTTACTACACTTAAGCCCGAAACAAAACTACTCCCGATAAACAGGTCCAAAATTTAAGTCAAAGATTTTTTAATAAAGAATTCCTTTTACACCTTGGAGTTTATCGATTTGCAAGATATCAATAACTATATCTAGTCAGATGATTGCACCTCTTCACCTCTCCACTTTCGGTGATAAGTTGATAATCTCTGTTCGGCATTAATGTATGTCCAGATGCCCGCAGGGCGCTTTATGTTTGATGTATTATGTTTTATGTGTATTGTATGTTTTCAATATTGTGTTCTAAAATTGTTATTCCGTGTTATATTTTATTGGCATAACTTATTGCAGACATTTTCTATGTTTGAAACACGCTAATAAATGAAATGAGTAAGGTAGACAGAAATCGCCTTCGATATTTTAATATGCTTTTAATGTTACAGATTATAAAATTTGGAAATCTTATCTACGTTTGCAGTAAAGAATATTTGAATTTTGTTTAACCGAAGAGAAAAAGTGTTCGAAGTATATCGAAGTAGGTAATTCCGTGATATATTTTTTGACTTAGTG